ATATATATATTTATTCATTTATTTATATATAAATAATCTAAAGAAGGCCGTGTGTTCATAATATACTTTCTTACTTTCATTCATTTTTTTTTTTGATTATTTCGCCGCCACCCCCCACAATTACCATGGAAATCAACGCTTTGACTCCGCCCACATACAAACGTTTCCTTTTTTTTTGTTTGCTTCACTTTTCTTCACCGCCGCCCATTTAAAAAATGCAATTTAAACAAAAGACAAACAAGAAAAAAAAGCGCAACGGGCAATGGGGTGTGTGTGTGTGTGAGAGAGAAAGAGAGAGGCGAGCGCGCTACTACAGTGTATAGTGTCTCAACTTTAATAATATATATAATCAATATTTTCTTCTTGATTCTTTGATTTTTTTTTTTAATATAATAATAATAATCGTTATTATTATTAAGTTCTATGTACACATTCAACTAACACTAAAATATGAAAGAATTCTCAACAACTAATGCGATACAATTAGAAGATGTAAGATATAAAACTCGTAAATGCCGTTACTCTTCGCGAAAGAAAAGAAGAAAGAAACAAAAGACTGTGCAAAAAAAAAACAAAATACAAATTCTGTACACGAAAATAAAAAAAAAATAAAAACCTACACAAATAATAAACTTCGATTAATTAAATAATAATAATAGAGAACCTATAGAGTAATTTGTTATGTACACTTATCCGCTATATATGTATATGCATTTATAATATATGTATGTATATATATATAATATAATAATTTAGTTACGTTTAGATTCAACCGAACAAACAAACAAACAAACAAAAAAAAAAAGAGTAAATTATATAATAATTAATATAAAACAAAAAAAAAAAATAATAATATTTTGGGGAATGTTACTTTGGTATAAATTGGTTGGTAATTGTTGTTCTCGATATTTGTTTAAAACAAAAGCAAAAAACATAGATACATAGGAGGACTGAGAGAAAGTAAAAGAAAAATAAATTAAATTTGCATCCTAAATAATAATAATAATAATAAACACGAAACGATAATAATATAATATTGATCAAGAATACTATGAATTAATCTTTGTCTGGATCAAACGAAACACGAAGCTCCTATTGGTTGCGTCCCCATTCAACATCATCATCATCATTGTGATGATGATCATTATCATTTATCACCGGATAGGAGAACGAAATGTTCGCGGAGAAGAGAAAGCGCGAGGAAGAGGACAAAGTGATGCTTTTTTTTTTCTTCATTTGTGTTGTGTGTTAAGTAATAGTGTTTTTTTTTCTAAATGTTAGAAAGAAGACTTAAGAATAAGAACCACCTAGGGATTGGAACGACAGAAAACGTGTTCAATCCTTCAGCTGTTCTCCACGCAGCCTGTTGATCTCTTTGCGCGCCATCGTCAGGTCGTTGTCCAGGCTCAGCTCTCGCTCTCTTAACCTCTTGATCTCCTTCTGCCAATTCTGCAAACAACAACAGAGTTTCGATTAGCTACAATTCCACAATATAGAAATTTCCCAGTTTGTCGTGATTAATTAATTGTACGTAAACAAACTGATGATGATGATTGTAGAGAGTAAGAGAGTAAAGTAGTACTAACCACATTCTCCCTGAGAAGATCCAATTTGGCGCACTTGAGCTGCGCCACCTCGTCGAGCAGCGAGTCGTAGGTGGAGCCGGAGGTGCTGCTGGGGCGATCGAGGCAGACGCTGCATGCCTTTGCCGTCGTCTCTGCGCTGGACATACTCTCCAGTCCGGTATCACTGTCAATGTATCCTCCGGCCAGAGGCTCCTCCAGGTATTCGCTCGTTATGGACGAGTTGTCCGACGCTTCGGACATGGCTTGCCTCGGATGTGGAGGATGGGCATGTGCAGTTAGATCCGGGGACGACGCCGTCGACGATGAATTCACGCTCTTCTTCCCGATCGACATGATCGATGATTTCGACAAAGACCTTCCACTCTGCGGCACACACAAAAATAACATTAACATTAAATTTAATAAAATATTAGTTGAAAATGTAGAATCGGTGGGAAAAGAGGAGATAAATTAAGCATAAATAAATGTGTAAGCGGCGGTACGGAATAGGGAATAAATGACCTTCGAGTCGCCAACTTAAGCAAATGATCCATACAAAATACAAAAAGCGGATGTTATATATTGTTTTGTTTGTTTTTTTTAAGCATTTTGTTTTAGACTAGCCGAAAGCTGCTTTTGGTAACTAATTTCGTTATTCTCACATCATTAAACTAGTTGGCTGAATATAATAATATTAAGTGAATCCCCCCAAAGAGTGCTTGTCATTGAGGCAGTGACTCGTCCGCTGAAGTTGGCTTTCGAAAAAGAAACCAGATTAAATTAAAAGTTAATTGGTGTTTCAGTAATTACCGGTGGGGTAGACTCTGAGATGGTCGGTTGACTGCCCTTTTTGGAGAGGCGCTCGTGACCATTGACGCTGGATAAATTGGTGTCGACGCTCTGGCTGGGTTTGACGCGGGCGCTCCACACCTTCTTCACGGATTCGATGAACCGCGAGCTGGGACCCTCGCTTTTAGGGGTGCCAGGTGCCGTGGAACTGCCCGAGGATGAGCCGTTGCTCAGGTATTCCTGGGTCTTCTCCCTCAGCTCTTTGGTGAGTGTCTGCAGGAGCGACGCTCGTGTTCTCTGTTCCAATCTAGCGAATTTCTCCGCCTTGTAGCAGGCGTTCTCGGCATTAATGAGCTTCGTCAAGAGGAACTTCTTGAATTCGCCATCGTGAGCGAACAACGCAGGATTCGGCAACGTCGGCCCGAAGAATGGGACGTCGTCGCGTGCTGTCACGCTTACTTTATACCTGAAGAAACAAAACATTTCGACATTAATTTTCATTCTAATCAGGATTATATTTTTTTTTTATGAAAATCAGATCGATGTTTACCTGGTGTACGGAGTTCCAGGATCGACGACTTGAACCACAATGAAGGCGTGCAGGAAATGCGAGGCGATCATGTCCGGACTGAAAGGCGTGCTGTCCTCCTGGAACACTATGGCTACGATGTCGTTGCCAATGTGCCGTTTCCGTTGCAGCTGCTGCGGGTCGTTCTCAGTGTAAGGGAGCAGCGTGGAAACATGGAACATGATCTCCCTGGACTCGAACTCCTCGTAGACGGCCTGATCGCCGGTATGGCCGTTCTGTATGTCCAATCCTCCCCGGTAGCCCTTGTGGTCCTTCAACTGGATCCGTTTCCCAAGCAGGTTGAGGAAAGCGTCGAAGGCAGGTGTCGTTTCGTTGTTGCAGAAGAGTTCCTCCTCGGTTATCTGGCCGTGCTTTTGGTAGAGCACGCCGAATTTGAAGCGCGTGACCAGCACGTGCTCATCGTAATTCTTGATCAGCTCTGATGACTTTGGGCAGACGATCGGCGTGAACTTGTCGACGTTAAGTTGCTCATCCAGCAACTTGGCCATCCCAGATGGGCTGGGATTGGAGCCCAGGATACTCGTCGGCACCGATTCGTGCCTCGTCCCAGTCTGCAACCTCAGCAATATCCTGGTGTGCTCCTGGCTGGCGTGGATTTCCGTCTTCACAGACATCAACACCGGTCCGCATTTGTCGTCGTTTCCGATCAACGTGCTGTGCTCCTAAAACGAATACAAACAATTCAATAACTCGATCTACAAATTACTCTAATGTAGAGGAGGAGGAGGAGACAGAATCGCAATTCTGGTCACCTCAATCATAAGTCACTGACATTGCGGAACGTAATGAGAATCGGGCATTGTTGAAGATAATACGCAGGCGAGGAAAAATAATAATTGCAATTGTTTCTAGTTTCTGTGGGAACGTTCACATTCACACAAGACACAAAGGAATAACTAACTGCAGTGCAGAGGATGAACGGATTTGAAGGAGGAGATGAAGAGAGAGAGAGACAGAGAGAACAAATAAAGAGCAACAACAAAAATAAGTAGATAGAAGTACCGGCAAGAGCAAGGATAGGATGTGCGGGAGGGATGGAGTAGGAGGAAAACAGACAATTAGAGATGCATCGGAGCGGAAAGCAGAACAAGATGGGATTTAACAAACCCAGGCTTAATTGCTGAGCCAACTTGGGATAGAAAAAGAGAAGAGAAAAGAACGAATAAGAGAGAAAAAAGATAACAAAAACAACAACAAAACAGTCGGCGTTTTGTTCTTGAGCGAATTCCGATTTGATTTGCTAAGAGCTATGGAGGTGTATTACTGCATAGATTGAACACGAATAATAGTGATCAAACGAACCAGTGGTGCACAAACTTGGGCTGTTATTTATATGGCGGCCACCTCCACAGTCTTCACTGAAATAACTAAATTGCAATCGAAACACGAAATTTAATTGAAGTGAGCAATCAAGTCTAATCTTCAGTAGACGATGATTAATGTAATTTCAAACAAATTAGGGAAAACACAAGTCTTAATTGAGAATGACAATTCATTGAAATCAGTCAAATTAGGGGCAATAGAACAATCATTGGAATTACCGAGAGTGGAAGTAGATATATACAACATGTTTAATCAATACAAAACATTAAGTAAATAATTAAGAAATCAAAAGCGCATTTGATTGCTTTAATATTTTTAAGTTAAATATTTAAATAGATGCACGGAATATATTAAAAAAAAAATAAACCTAAGAAAAAAAGGCAAGTATTAAATGAACAGATGCTGTTGATTTTAAAAATCTGTTGAAATCCATCGAATCATATGTAGAGTCACGTTCGGAAAATCGAGCATTTTCCGTCGATTCTTGGATATGTTTTTTATGCGAGCGTTTTGTGAATAGCCCGGATAGGATGGATTAAGGTCGCGGCGATTGCAAACAAAAACACACGAAATTTCAAATAATATAAAATTTACAAAAGGAATGTATTTTTGAATCCAGACTGATCGTTCGCTATGCGACTATTCGGACGCACCACCTGCTCAGAGGTTCTGCGATGGTTACCAATGCGATTGTTGTTCCCATGCGTGTCGCCATGGTAACTGGGTCGAAACCCACGGATGGGAACGCGACCGAAAACAATGGACGTGTAAATGCGCCTTCTGGACGCCGGAGCGCAAGAGACACTCGCACTACTATTTAAATGGGAATAAGAGAGAAAGGTGACGTCGTATGTAAATGTCCTGAGTGTGTGCGACGATCGAGGTGGCCCACCAAGCCCCCAGATGTTATGCAATAACGGCGACGACGGCGGTGGCGGTTGTTGAGGCTGCGGCTGAGAGATGATGGAGACGCACACCCACGCGCCGCTCAAAGAATATAAATATAATAAATGATATGTACCTTTCCAAGGAAGAATCGCTTGTAGCATTTGGCGGTGTCATCGGTGTCGATCTTAGGTCTCCAAGTGCCGTGCGGCAGGATGGGGGAGCCTCGTATGTCGAAGGTGCAGTCGTGTTCGGTGCCGTCGATCCAGTAGCCATTGTCGGGGCAGAGGATCATCGGGTACGGGGCGGGCCGTGTGAGCGCTTCCTGCAGGTGACGTCGCGACGCGGACGTCGCCTGCTGAGGGCTATTCGGCGGCGTCGGCTGACAGGGGCTGCCGCTGCTGATTTTGATGTTGTTATTGGAGCACAGCCTTCCGCCGCCACCCCCGCTTCCGAGCTCGCTGTCGCTTCCGCCACCTCCTCCTCCTCCTCCACCACCATTGCTGTGCCTCTGTTGCATCTGCATACCGGGCTGAAAACAGAAAGAGAACTGGGTTAGAGATCTTGCAAGTCGATTATTATGGTGCAAAACACTACTCATGAAATACTAATTACACCGAGAGAAATAACAAAAGGGTTCGTTCGTCGTTAATTATACCTCAACCAACACGACGTACGTCTCTCGTAATATGCATTCATTCAGTTTTCGTTTATTAATTGTTAATTACTGTTTAATCGGACTGTTTTATAGAATGGACAATAGAAACGTAATCCTGAATTCGCGCGATGTGCGAACGTTGTCCAGCTGTAATTGAAGACGGAAAGAGAGATAGAGGGAGAGAAAGCATAGACCATAGAGATCACCCTGAGCGCTGCCTGGCTATTAAATATCGATTGGTCGCGCTCCAATTGTAAAGGCAATTACACCGCACTCTCTCATTCACTTCCCCCCTTTTGTGTAGAACACTGGAGAAGACACCCAACCACCCTCGCATTTCCCAGATGAAGAACCATCAGATCAGAGGGAGAGAGAGAGAGCTGTGAGATTCCTCGCATTCATCGGGAAAACCGTGCAATCGAATTCGCCAATCCCTCTTTTCCCTCATACAATCGACGGACAACAATCAAACCCAAAATTAAATTGTCCATTTTTAAACAATTCTATATATATAGTCCTGCATATCCGTTTAAACTACGCATTGTGTACAAAAGTACCTATTCTGTCCATTTCCAAAGTTTAAATTTATTACAAAATGAAAAACAATATATTTATATATACAGAATCATTCATCGTGAAGTCGTACACCTCCTTTTTTCCACTTAAACTGTCACTCATATTTATTTGTATATTTCTAGTCATTGGCATATGCCCACCCTCCTCATCTGTGAAGTGTCTCCTCTTCTACGTGACAAGAGATTCGTTTCACACGAATGGGTAAAGAAGAGCTCCAAATTCGTTTTGTTCTTGCATCCACTCGGGGATAAAGAGTAACGAGTAAAAGAAACGAAGGATATGAAGAAAACAAAAAGAAAAACTGTTGAGAAACGAAAACACCTAGGTCGCCCACACGGATGTAATTAACGTGGGCGTAAATATTTTAAAATCGAAAACTCGAGAGCGAGGAAAGTAAACAAAACCTATCCTCCTCTCTGCACAAGCCAAAACCCACAGTCCGAATCAGAATTTACAGACACAATATTATGGTTATATTCGACGTATTCTGCAATTTGGTAAAGACGGCGAACTTACATATGATAATGACGCTAATTAAATAGATAAGCTGGCAACATTCGATACAAACGTTTAGTTTGATTCTATACAAATACGTTTATTTCAAATAAATGATACCCAATTTTTGAGCAAAGCCAAGCAATCAAAGTGTATATTGGAAAAAAAAAGAGCGTATTTGTAAAGTATTAATATACTTCGATAAACAATCGATCCGAAAAATGTTTATCCGGAGCGACGTGCGTTGCCATGACCCGAATAATGGTGATCGTTTTTTTTTTTTTTGGTTTTCGTTGTTTAGTTTGGTTCGCTTCGATCTTGTTTTAATTAGCATCGTGCAGAGCTCTATTTTCAGAGAAAGAGATATCGCTATTTGCACGTTCGATATTTTTTTTTTCGTACATTATTATTATTATTTCTGAACCGGCGAAACTGGAAAATTACGAAATGCGAGAGGCAGACGTGAAACAAAAAAAAAAAGAAGTTGTTTAACAAAGAGAGACAGAGAGATACTTTATTTTCGTACATCGCAGAAGAACGATAAGTAAAACAAAGGTGGAAAAAATAACTTAAAACAAAGTGAGCGAAAGATGTTGAGGGAAGGAGACGGACGAAGGTCAATGTAAGACGAACGGGGCGCGCTTCCTTGAAGCTGACAAATTTTGGGAAGTTTCAATGAAATATAAAAGAGATGGATTGTTAACCTTGCAAACGGATGTTTATATAACTCATGGAATACTAATTTAACAGGCCTGTCGATGCGTTATAAACTTGCTAAAATTTAGGATTATATAAACTTGATTAAACATGATTATATAAACTTGCCAAAAAAAAGGAGCGATATCAATTTCTCTTTTGCAAACTAATTTTTATTGAATAGATATCAGCAGATATTGTTGAATTCGAAACAAAATGAAAATAAAAAGAAGAAATACTCGAGTAGCGACGAACGAATTATATTACCCATGACCTACTCTAACTTGGACCGATTCATTTCTCGTCTGCAGCAAAAGCAAGTAACAACATCACGGTGATCACCATCATCATCTTTAATCTCTTTAAAATTCACCGTAAGGCGTCCCAGTTTTTTTCTCGGAAACGAGGACAACGACGTCGCCGCACCAACAGCAGGTGAAGAGGTTCGCGGAAAGAAGAGGATGACGATGGCAGAAGGCTCTCTCCTCTTCTCTCCGTCGTTCCACCAAATAAATCTCTTTCGATTGTGAGTACAGTGTGCATGCATACATGTACATATATATATATATATTTTGGTTGTATGGTTGTGTACGGATGGACGTGTGCGTGCTGCGACCCAAAGGAAAGGAGGGATCGCCAAAGTGTGTCAAGCAACGGAAAAAGCCCGTTTCTTATTGGCCACATAAAATATACAACACACACGAGACGGACACGAAAAAGAAAATGATTTTTTTTTCTCTCGAGAGAGAGAGAAGATGAAGAAAACGAAGAGTTACATCTTTGCATCTTCACCAGCAAATCACGTTTCGCATTTTCCGAGCGGACAGCGAAGCGCTGTCGGGTATATTTTCGATTTACGGACTAAATTAGATGCGAGTTAACACAGCATCTGTGGGAGATCAGATAGTGAACGAGCAGCGGGCATCTATATGGATATGACTGTAGTAGCTATGCTGCACAGGTTGGTTAATATCTCGTCGTGTCCGTTTTACAAACGAAAATGAAGTCGACGAAACAGAAATAATAAACGTAACTCAGATTGGTTTTACAATCTACACACGGGAAAGTGAAGTAGAGCGAAACTTAAAATGATTACGCATAGCAATTAGCAATGCATTTATCAGTAGAATATGTACTACCTCCTTCTACTCCGCCTCCGCCTCCCTTTACTTTCGTTCGAATAATAGTGAGATAACAAGAAACTACTCACCAACGAGTTGTTATAAATAACATGCAACGCGTTTTACAATCTGCTACTATTGAGCACTGAAAGTGCATTTCAGTTGCAATATTGACAAGTTTTGCTTATTTCGCAAGTACTTGACCAAGTAATTAATGTACGGTTTATGCATAATCTGCGAAACTCTTTTTGGGTGGTGGTGGTGGTGGTGTTGAAAAGACGCGGGTTCAGTAACATCGGCCGCCGATTTATAAATAAATTGCGCGACGTTGGCTCGCCGTCAAGTCTTCTCGTCTTCCCATCGCGTCTCATCCTCTTTTCTCCGCCTTCTTTTAGGTGTTAAAAACAACGGTGCACAAGAAGACGCCGAGGAGGGAAAACAGAAAGAAGGCGCGAAGAAAGGATGGTAGGTATAATAAGAGGACCGGATGTCACGCGCCCGCCATCGATGCAGACAGACGTACGTAGTCGACCGGAAGTTGATAACGTCGTATGCGCGCAAATCGAAATCACTTTTACCCGACCCGACAACTTCTTCATTAACTGAAGAAGGAAATCGATGAAAGAGAGTTTTACTACTAAATCACATGATCGCATTATAAATAAACAAAAAGTAAGGAATCGTTAGATGAAGGAGGAAATCGGTGAAAAGGAAGTGCATGGAGCAGCTTTAGCTGCAGATCCATTAATAACGAAATTGCTGCGAGGATATTTTGGAATGTCTTTGATGTCGTCGTCGTCGTCGTCTTTCGAAACGGGAACGAACACTTCGCTTCTATTTCTGAAGACATAGACAGAAAGAGAGAGAACCCGTCATTTCCTCCCGAATCCAATAATTGACACATCAATAATTAGAGTGAGCGAGAGAGTGATAAAATGTGAAGGAGGAGGAGGGAGGCAGGTGGACTTGGACTGCTGTTGTAAAAGTCGTTCGAAAGGCGATGGTTTGTGTTTGATGGAAAGAAAGAAAACCTTGCGCCTCTCTCGATGCCCGTTACTCATTTGGGTTTGGCCTTTTGCCTCCCGTTTGCTCGCTCAGCAAATGTAGTATACATAATATAAACAACGCTTGCTGCTCTAGCTCATAGCTCGATTCGTATGGGTAAAAGCGAATAACCTTCGCACACTTACTAAAACGATAAAAAAGAAGGAAAAAAATAACACAAAGCATAGAATCTATCTTTAAGAATCAACCGCTTACGAGTTGTTTTACATCAAATGAAACAATTGCTAATTGGAAAACATTCGAATCGAATGCAAAGGTGCATACGATGCTTGGCAATTTCAACTAAATAACTTCAGGGTGGCAATAGAAAATGCTTTTTTCTATTTCCGTTACGAAAGTCACCTACTATTACTACTACTCCCACGCACATTTTTTTTATTGAGCAGAAGGGAGAACAACGTGACGGCACCATGAGGGAGGGGTGCGTTTATTTCAAGGGTTTCCAAAAATAGTGAATGGAAGAGAAGAGGGCGAGGATCAGAGAGTCGAGAATCAGCACAATTAGCCCCAACGGCCGCCGCCGTCGTCATCACCGCTACAACCGCCCGCCGCCGTTTAAAACCGTTGAGCGAGAAAGAAAACCGGTTTTTCTTGCGTCACCCACTACATATAACAAACAACAAACGAACGCGCACGTACCTACATAAATGAATTATACAGGAGAGAGGACACAAAAATAGCCAGAGAAGAGGAAAGAAAAAAGCGTACAACTCGTGTGTACATTTTTTTTTTAAATATTTTGAATGCAGAAAGTTATGGCTAAAACTCAAATTTGACAAACTTTTGCACAATAAAAACGAAACCTGAAACCAATCAAAATTGCAAAGAAACGAGACTTTCACTTTCGATCAATCTGGGAAAGATTGCAACTTTTACACAAGTCCACCGTCGCTGCAGACAACAACAAAAAACAGAACCGCT